TGTGTCCAGCTCTGGACACGACACTTCCAGAAGGATGCTAACAAACTGGAACAAGTTCAGAGGAGGGCAACAAGGATGATCAAGGGGCTGGAAACCGAGCCTTATGAGGAAAGGCTGAAAGAAGACTGAGGGGTGATATGATAGCACTTTTCAAATATCTGAAAGGGTATCATACAGAGGAGGGGCAAGATCTGTTTTCAATCATCCCAGAGTGCAGGACACACAACAATGGTCTCAAGTTAAAGGAAACCGGATTTCAGTTGAATATCAGGAAAAACTTCATAACTGTTAGAGCTGTACGACAGTGGAACCAGTTACCTCAGGAGTTGGTGAGTGCTCCAACACTGGAGGAATTCAAGGAAAACTTAGATAATCACCTGACAGATATGCTTTGATTGTATTCCTGCACTGAGCAGGGGGTTAGATTTGATGGCCTTGCAGACCCCTTCCAATTTCACTTTTCTATGATTCTATGATTCTATAATGTGCCAGGGAATTTTAGTAGCCAATATGAGAGAGAATAAATACAAATATACTCTATATATTCTGCTTATTTTTAAGTAGCTTTTGTTGCCCTACGTTTGGAACATGTATACCTGGCAACATCACTCCTGCCTTACAAATTGATTTCATATTTATAATTTAATTGTAAGTGAAACTATTTCCTGACAATACAGAGTAAGCTGGAACTTGTGCAGATGTCTATTAATTAGTAACTGTGACATCTGTTGTTTAACCAACATTGTCACATAAACCTCCAAAATGAAACAGAACTGGGCAAGGAGTTGGGGCCAAGATGGACTCTCTTTGGCCAGTCTGAAAAATAGACACAGTCCAGGAGGCTGGAGAATGGATATGCAATTATATCCCAGATTTACAGACACCACTGTAAGCAAATTTATTTTTATTACTACATATGAGCTGAACACTTGGAAATCTACTGCAGATATATGAAGGTAGGTGGGAGAAGTAGGCTGCAAGACCGAACATTGAAAGCATTCAGAAGCGGGCAGCTGAAGAGGACTGGAGGGAACACAGAAGTTCATTAAAAGAGACTTTTCGCCTGATGAATTGCTGAACTATCTGTCTGCAAAGTTCCTCTTAGAGACCTGCTGGATATTATCGAATGTTATTGAACAGTCTTGTAACTCCTAATCATTTAGATTATGCCTACACCCACCTGAAGTTTATTTATGCCTGAAAAAACCAGTATGTCCTGTACAGAGATGAAAATAAAAAATGGAGGCTGCTCATAAACGAAGTGACCCCCCTGTGGTGGATTACAAAAGGGAATAGATGGGATTATATTTTATTTGTATTGTTGAGCATGGTTGGGGGAGGATTTGGAAAAGTGGTTTTGGGGGGGTTATTATTTAAATATTCCTGCTGTTCCTGAAACTCTGTGGTGATGCTAGAAGAGAAAAGGAGCTTCTCTTCTGCTTTATCTCAACTTATCTTTTTCTACTCAAAGTCTGGAAAGGTGCCAAGAAGTCTGAACAAGCTGACTTTTGGCTCTTTTTTCCCCTTGTCAAATCTAGACACAAATAGCTCCCTCGAAACGCAGTAATATTTACCAGACTTATTGTATTCAGAATATGTTCTTCCCATTTGGAGGTGGTCAAGGAAAGTTTCCCCTCTTCATTAATAACATTGATTCTTTGTTTGATACAGTGTATATTGGGCGATCCCTATTTATTGGTTGCTTGATCTCTGTTTGTTGGCTGCTCTCATATCCTTCCTTATTTCCATATTTCTAATGTCCTAGATTATTTAAATTTATAGAAGGAGGGGGGAAGCAGATATCAGTGGAGAATACTGGAGACCTGTCATATAAAGGTTCTTTTTTTAAAAATACAAAAAATGGCTGCAAAACTTAAGGCAGGGAAAGGAAGTCCGGCACCAGAAACAACATCACTGAGATTGAGGCAAGAAACCCAGTCTTCTTTATTAACGAAAGAATATTTTGAGAAGCTTATGAGCACCATGCTCAGCCAACAGACAGCCCATTTTGATAGAAAGTTTGATGAAATTAAGTCT